TTAATTTAGTTGTACTACTTCAATGGTAGTTTATTTGCAGGTACTTTATAGCTGAAAATCCTTCACGCCTGAACATAGCGCATGAATTTGGTTTTCTTTCATGCATACCGGAAAAAGTGCACAAAATTTCTCTTGCTACAACCGTTTTCCGTGTCTTTCATTATCTTTCATTGAAATTTTCTATGTCATTCAGTGAAGTATCATTTGTTAGGTGATTTTGGTATAGGTAAAAAGAGCACATCCATATCATTTAAATAAGGTATTGATACGTATTAAAATTCATCCAGTCGATTTTCAGATCAGAAATTGGATGATCAAGATTTGAAAATCTGAAGTCACTAGAAGGTTCAATTCGTTACAATTGTAGTTTCTTTTAACATTAACTTCTACATTCAACTAGGCGAATAACTTGCATCATATTTTTATTTCAAATCAGAATTTTTCATACTTATTAAAGTCGTCAATTATAAGTGCAAACAATGTTCAATTTTCCAAATATAAGTTACCTTTTTTTTAAATTCTAAAACACATACATTTAGATATATGCTAAAATTTCTCTATGTTCATTATCTAATTGATTAGCAAGAGATCTTGTTTCAAGACATACAGTGTAGTTATAACTATACTATATCAAAAGTATCCATTTATCAGTGAGATTAAGACTTAATATTTAAAAAGTGAGAAAACGCGTTCCTCATTTAGCTTCAGTAAGAGAGATCTACTGAATTCACATTGAAATAAGATTATCAAAAGTTTACAAAAGAAATTTTGCAAAGAAAACTATTGCTTGTTGCTGGTACTGACAGAAAGAGGCCTCTAAAACAAAGTGCCTTGAAATACATGAAAGTACCGTAATTTTTTTATCTGTCTTTTTGGTATGTTTTGAAGAGGACATTTCTCCTCATTTTTCTTTAGTATTATGAGGTATTTTCAAAGTTTCCAAAACAGTAATTATTTTAATGTCACCGGACATACTATCTTACTTGTAAAGATGTTCTTACACTGACACATAAAGAAAGATAATATATTCACTTCATTATTTTGTTTAATGGAAATGAATTTTAAGTATTTTACATGAACAATAAATATGTGTGTGTGTATGTGTGTGTGTGTATTAAATTATGGCAAAGCACACTAGGGATATCTGCCTAAGAGGAGGGATGCCTTCGTGGAGGACTTTCTAAGGGAAACGGGCTCGTATACACGTTACACATGGGGAAAACCACGAAAACGCCCATGCAGCCAGCCCGTTCGCGGGATTCGAACCTCGGACCGAACTACCAGTGTTCAGCGACTTTACCGCTCGGCCGCTGGTGGGCCGAACAATAAATATGCAAAACATCTTGGATTAAATTTTCTAAGAATTATAGAAACATTTTTAGTCTCTAAAGAGAAATCAATATTTTTGAAAATATGTTAATTTGATGCCATTCTACATGTTCCATTCTTCGAGATGAGACTCGTGATTTAGGATTCAATTCTTGAACTGTCTTTTGCTTCTTGAGCTATATAAAATACATGTATAATACACCATATTTATATTCGAAGTTTAAAAGAATATTTTGACTAAGAATGAATTAAAAATGATTCCATCTCAGACACAAATCGAAATAAACACAGCATGTAATAACTGGGCTTAAAATAACAAAAAGCCAGAATACGTCTGGCCATCCAGACACAGTGTGGATATTTACTTATTTATGCCTTTACTTACCAAGTGATCCTCTGGGAGGAACCAGTTTTCCGATACATAAAGGCCTGTTACCGTATGGATCACGTACTGCATATATCGTATCCCCATTCATTATAAGTAATGAGTAGGCCGTTTTTGTGCGCCTCATGAGATTTTTAATTCTCGCGGGCCAATCCGGCCCCTGTTTCTCGTTATTTGGTAAAGGCGGAGGCATACACAATATCTGAACCATGAGCTCGCTGTCAGATTCAGTTGATAATCCAACGCCCTTGTCGATAATCTAAAAACAAATAAAATTCAGATATACGTTAACAGAGCTACAATAAACGTAATTATGTTATAACACATTTTTTGACAGCAGAAATTATATTTAGAGAAATATTGCAAGCAAAGTACGTAATCCATGATAGTCATTGATCGAGAAGTTACATATAGTTTTCGAAAAAAGAGATCGTAGGCTTTTTTTCTGCAAATGCCGATGCTTGAATATTTCGATTTATGTAAGGTTTCTCAAAATAAAGTAAAAAATTTTATATAAACAGGTTTAATAGATGGTGGAGGTGACAATGTTCTGTATAGTAAATAAAGGTAGTTCTCTATACGATCCTTTCAAAACTAAAATTCCAAAAACACTCATGATGGAATAATAACTAAAAGCAGATTTCCATCTTTTTATATACAAAATCTTCGAGAATGAATTTACAAACTCAACTTATCAATATTTCCCCCCCCCTAAATTTAGGCAGCAACTACAAAATAAAACTTGCTTGGTCTCGCGATTAATGGTTTCGTATTCAATAAAATAGGAATCATTATTAGATTTGTAATTTTATGAAAATTATGGCTTTATGAAAATTTTAGTTATATCTATATAGGTTCAAATTTTAAGTTCCTTGTTTCATGTCTATAATGAAAATTTTATTGCAATTCTTATTTATAATGGATCTATACTATATTTAAAAACTATATTGAAAAATGAACAATGTATTATAAGAAATATGTAAAAATTGTATTGTAGGTTGATGTTAACTTAAAAGAGATCACTTCCAAAATCTTAAGAGACAGAAGTCATTATTATCCTCTATGTTTAATTACTACAAATTTAAAATTATTATTTTGAAAAGAAAAACATATCATAAAACAATTATTCCTGAATTCTCGAGGAATCGGAAAAAAGAAAATAAAGCGGTAAAGCTATTATTGCTTATTATTATTATTAAATCTTCTTCCTGAGGATTTCATTTCTTAAGATTTTTATAGATTCATGTTTATGTTATTTTCTACAGAAGAATAATCAAACATTTGTGTACTGTATATTTTACCTTCTAATCATATAATTCCAATTTATTTTACATGATATAATTCTTCGCTTTCATGGCAATACGGTCACTGATTCTTCTGTCTTCTGTTGTACGATTGTTAAAAAAAAATATTTTTTTGCGTTTCCAGAACAAGTTAATATTGTCACTGAAAATGTCGCTAACACTAAAATATAATTCTGAAAAGTTCTTCTATACTCACTTCTCTACGTAATTCGGATGCATTGACAAGCTCTCCGTTGTGCGCAACTGCAAGAACTCCGTGCTTTGTATGTACAACAAATGGCTGTGTATTCAAATGCTCTGTTCCACCCAGAGTGGAGTATCTGGTGTGTCCTATGCCCAAATTGCCTCTTAGCTTATTCAGATCATCTTCTCGAAAAGCGTGGCTTACCAATCCCGATTGCTTGTGAGTCCGAACATAATTAATGTCCCCATCGCTTGTTGTAATTCCACAACTCTCTTGACCCCTGTGGGAATTCCAGAAGAGAAACATTAGTGAAAGAAAAGTTTAACATTTGATTTTAAATAGCTATTTGAAATAATAAATATTCAAAAAATATTATACGTTTCATTACAAAAAATAGCAATATACTGTTAAGTATTACAGTAATGAAACAATGTTAAATCATTCAGAGAAGCACAGCGAATAATCTCGTTCACTTGCAGATAGTTACTTTTATAACTTAGTTCTTTGGTACACATTTCAAACATTTAAAATTAGATAGAAAAGCAACCCAAGACTGATGGAGATTTTAAATAAAACTCCATCGCTACCGGGGGCGTTCAGACATAGATCTCTTTTCTTCAGGAGCAAAAACATTTTTCTAAATTGGTGCGTGCTATGTTATGCGACGTAGGTATGCTTATTCTGGCGAGATTATCAGCTGTTATAATGCTATACTGACTTAATGCCCAGTGGGCACATCACATAAAACAGCCCAATAAAATCACATTAGATAAATAAAAAACGTAAAAAACGTAGAAGGTACGTAAGAGGGAAGACCATGGCCTCATATTTATACAGAAAAACTGTGTCATCAATACAGGGTACGTACATCAACCCATAAAGTATTAACCAAAATACATACAATCTGTCGAAAGGAATAAGTACAGCCTGAACAGGTATCGGCAATAACAGACTTTAAACTACTGACAATATGCAGTAAATTCTAGAGAAGAAACAGCGCAAAACAAAATTATATATCAAGACATATATGCAAAGCAAATTCAATACAAAGCAATGCAGAGTGATTTGTAAAAGTTTCTTTTAGCGCAATTCAGTCCTGCGTTTTTTCCAAAATGGGCGAAGAGATAACCTTTTTTAATTGAATGCAACAGGCGGAAAAAAACGAATATAGAGCCATCTGTTGAAGAAACTAGTTATAAAACATGAAAATTTTAATGCATTGGAAAGGACAGGATTGGAACTAATGCCATTAATTTTTAAAAAATGTGAATTTGGAAAGCGTCAAGAAAATCCAGTACACCAAGTGAAGAAGCTTTGTGGATATCTTCACAAAATAAAGTCAAAATTGCAATAAGTGCCCATTTATGATTGGCTACCGAAGATTTATTTATTTCTCCTTTCCTAAGATTTGTACTCTTTAATACGAAAATTTTAAGCTCTTTTAGCTTGGCCGATATATGTCAAATCATACTGATATGTTATGCTATAAAAGTGGCCGCGAAATAATCAGATACGAGATCTTTCAGAATCGCGACATCAAGTTCAATAGAGTCTTACTCAAAATATATGCCTCTTAAGGTAGTTTTTTTTTTTTCGGGGGGGGGGGAAGGGGGCCTAATTTAAAATTTGATCTCCACATATTTTGCCACATGAAATTTATGTTTTTATATTTTATTACCTTATTATTTATACGCGCGTGGTTATCCATGTGCAATTGTGCGTGCATATTTTAATATACACTCATGCACCAAAATTTTAAATAAATCTTAAAATCCTACGTCTAAATCAAATAAAGTCAAATTGCGAAAATACCAAAACAATAAAATAAAACGTTTACAATGACAAGGCTGTTTATTAAAGTAAAATATTTAAATTCCCACAACTCTTAAATATAGATCATTTACAAAATATTAGTTCATCATCTTCCATTACCCATTATTTTATTATTTTCGTACCATGTTACAGTATGCTAATTGATTTCATTACATCGTAACATTTTCAGTTAATCTTATTTATATATTTATTTATTCATTTTCAGTTAAACTTATTTATTTATTTCGTCGATGTGTTTTACATAACAGTACATTAATTTTAGAAAAACTGAATGAAAAATGTGTTATGGTTCGCCCCTTTTCTGTCACAAATGTTTTAATTCTTTTCAAAAAAACAATCAGCATTAAAAATTCAGAATAGGGTGAAACTTCGTAAAATTTAAAATAATAATAATAATAATAAATGCTTAACATTAGATTCGAGATTTCGCTGTAGAACTTCTGCAGAGCTTCCGTAGCCATTTTATGTGAAATTTTTCTGCAAATTGCTTCCTTGGACTAGATTGAGTTGGATTATTTAAAATACGGAAAAGCACACGAAGGCTATTTTCCACAGGGTAGGAATGTTTTGATTGAAGGATGTTTTAAGAGTTTTGCTTCGTATTTAGTTTAAACATGCAGAAAAGCAGGAAAAGACTCAGGCTGCGAATCCATTTGCCAGCATTCGAAACTGTAGATCTACCAGTACTCAGCAATCTTAACCACTCAGCCATTTATGAACAAAGAGTCAAATCGTAAAAATAAAACAGAACAATAAACATAGGAGGACTGTCTTCCTAGTACTGGATACCTTTTAAAGAACTAAGGTATTTCTTCCTGTCTGCCTAGTACTGTGAAGAACTAAGGCTTTTTTCCTGTATCTTACCGCTGGCTTTGTAGTGCAACTAGAAACCACGTCCGGCTAACAATGATAGGCCCGGAGTTCGAATTCCGGTGAAGGCGCTGCATAATTTTCTCATCATCTGCTCCAAGATAAAATGCTTAATCGACTCTAGAAATCTCCTGCTCTAAAACAGCCTAATGGACTATATATGGACCTTCTAAGGAAACCGAGCTCTTATTTTGCTTTTTTAATCCCATATATATTACAGACCAGGCATGGGCAAACTACGGCCCGCTGGAAGGTTCTATCCGGCCTGTGGATAGAATTTTAATTTGCCAGTCCGAGGCAAATTAAAAGAAACATGTATTTATACATTATATACCACCTTTTTTTTTTCTGCTTTGTTTAAATATATTTTTTTCCTTCCTTTTTTTCAAAGAGTTGATGATCTTTTTACCTTCTCTATTTTTGTTCTAAAAACATAAATTGACGGAAATAGCAAGCACAGACAGCTTTCAATTGGTAAAGTGTTAAAAGTGGAAGTTCTTTGTTAGTTATAGCTGTAGATTGGCGCCAACAAATGTTATCTCTTTCTTGGGAAGCAGACATATGGGAATCCAAAATAGGGGAATTAGACTTCTTAGAAAAAAACTTTATCTTAACTTAAACTTAATTTGTTTGCTGGGCAGCTAGCTAAGAACGGCTTGTCTCATTTCCCGAAGTTAAATTCAATACCCTCAGTAAATGAAGAGAAGCTTGAATTATGACGATGGCTTTTGAGTTCGAATGAAGATTTCAAGATTTCAGTGCCATTCAACCAGAATTGGATAATTTTACCATGCTTTTCAACATAAATTGTAAAGCATTGTGAGGTTAGACTTGCAGCTTGAATTATTGAGTTGAAATCTACAATCATTTCAGCATTTTTTCTAAATATGCCAAAGTTAGAGTTTAAATCATTATCGAAAGTAGTTTCCAAATTTAATATCTAACGCCCAGAAAATCAGTGTATGTTTGCTTCATCTTATATATGAACAGGGCTCATATGAACCTTAGAAGAATTTCAGAAGTAGACTGACAGATGAGCATTAATTTTCATTCCTAGAATCATTACCCTCACTTCGAAACAAAAGGAACTTTGAAAAATGAAATCGCAATTTCATTCATCTCATTAACATATTTAAATTGTAATACTTGTATATTGTTTTTAAAATTTTAGAAAAATTAACTTGGCCTGCCAAACTTTTTGTTTCGATTTTTGGCCCGCGACCGAAAAAGTTTGCCCATTCCTGGTATAGACGGTTTAAAATTAGCTGGTCGCGTAAGTAACGTCGCTCGTAATTGGAGATCATACTGAGGGGAAACGACTGCATGATGCCTACTCTGTATTTAGTGCTGCATTGATCGCTTTGTATTTTTCTCTTACATTAATCTCTAAGCAACTCCAGAAAGAGTTTATAATTTACACAGACTCAGTGCTCTCAAAGCTTTAGAAAGTTTTCCGCGCACCCGGAATCCTCTACTTGTGTACATTCTAAGACCGCATCAAAATTTAAAAGAGCCATAGGTAGGAAATTCTTTACTGCTGGATAGGCATAAAAGCCATGTAGGTATAAAAGGTAACGAGCTGGCAGACACAATTCAAATTTGTAACTGTTTTATCAAATCAGTTTGTCCTCTACTGTGATATTAAAATTGTTATAAAGCAGAGATAAATAAATGGCGATTATTTTGGAATGGTCAGTTCTTGAATAAATTCAGAAGCGTAGTAGAACATAAAGTAGAAAACTGGGAGAGCACTTGGAACCGAAGGGAGGAAGTCATAATAACACGCCTAAAGATTGGTCACTCTCGAGTCGCACACAATTACTTGCCGAACGCCGAGAGTGACCCTTTATTTGTTCAAATTGTAATAGTTTTCTATCGTGTGTCATGTTTTAATTGAATGTCCGCATTTTAACCGACTTCGATGAAGTAATTTTAGCGATTGTGACTTACCTGTTGACCGTATAATAAGGGAATTATTTAATTTGATTTTGTTTTGGTGTTTTTCTTGCTATTTTAATCCCATGTATTTTAATATATCTATTTTTTTTTTTTTTTTCCCAGAACGTATAATTTTTTCACATTCTTTGATTTTATAAGCGCGCTCTTGTTTTAATTTGTGCTTGTCTGTAGCTTGTACTTAAGGACTATTTGGTTTGGAATGTTTCCGGTGCATATAACCTTTAAGGTTTTGCGCCAGGCAATCCACTTCCACCACCATGAGCTCTTATTTATATTGCACAATGGAGAAATTACAAAAGCACCTATACCGTCAACTCACAGGCAAAACTAATATCAATGTTCCATAGCGCCAGCAAGTTAGCCTTTAATTACTTGAAACAAATGAAGACCTGATACATTAAAAGTATGAATATGAACAGATAGTTGAATGTTTAAGTTACAGCATGATACTGAATCCTTTTCCGAAGTCTAAAGAAGCATCACACATATAAATCTAATTTTATATAAGATCATTTTTTTAACCTAGAATGTTATGAAGATCATTTCCCAAATTGTCCTTCGTTTTTAAATAACAAAACAAGTGCTTTACGTTTTACGCATCATATTATCAGTTTTGTA